CTTTAATGATTAAATAAATTTTCAATCGACCTCGGAGAGCCAGCCGGGGATAATTTCGAGAAATCAAGTCGAGCGGAATCGCGTGCAAAAAGCTCGCCCGGTGGAGTCGTAAATCAAGCGCGACGCGGTGACAAGGGGGCTTATCGTGGACACAAATCTTTACACGGTTTCTTGGCGGTAGCGACTTCATTAGGTGACGTAATTTACAGTTCGATTCATCGATCGAGTGAGTCCCCCCCTTTCCTTTTTTTTGCCTGTGCAACCGTCGGTACCGATCGGAGTACAAAAGCAGAAGCAGTTCTGCCAATCACGATTTAGATTCGTTTCGAAAAACGCGTCGAACCGCGAACTCGTTTATCCACCCTCGTACGGACTCTTTACGGACTCCCACACACGTGCGCCGTTCCCTTTCCTGCAAACTCGGCGGAGCGTGGCGCTCGAGGGGCTACGGAGCAAGCGCAGCTGGCAAAGGGTAGATAGAATGGTACGTTACGTTATTACTTCGGCGTAATACGCGATCCCGTCGGGTCAAGCGCGAAAGACTGGACACAACTTTTAACGACGATACATACACGGCGCGCCGCTTCGATGGAACAAATTGTTTTACACGGCGGTGAACGCCGGATCGAGACTCCCCCAGGGCTGAACGTTTAATTGGAACCTGTAATTGGTTCAGCTAAATCGATTCCTTATAGATCAGAAATTGTTCATTAGACATTTTTCAAGTTTCATAGGAGTAAATAGATTAACGAGAAGATTAAAAGGCTGCGTGAATCGGTGGTATTTTCACAGTCGAATTCGTTAAACGAATTGAAAACTCAGATTCTTCTTCTTTCTTCGATAAAAATTTCTTAACTGCGATTATTCACACTTCGACTGCCATAAAAGTTTTACTACAGGATGTTTCAAAATTAGTGTAAAATATTGAAATGGGAGATTCCTGACATCATTCTAAATAACATTTTCCTTAGCGAAAAAGTTATCCGACGCGTGGTTGAGGAGTTATTAACAAAAAAACCCCGACCAATCAGAGCGCACGGTTGGCGCGAGCTTCCAATCGGAAGCGTTGGCTAGGACGCCTGGCTTTTGACGCGTGAACAACCGCTCCGTTCAATACGTTTAAAACTAACTTATTACAAAATCGTTTTAAGAAAATTGCGAATAATAAACTACATGATTAACAATCCAAGGAAATTAATAACAATTAATACATTTAATCGTTATTCAAATGGAATGGA